TTTTTCCCTCCACTGCAACCCACTCATGGTTTGTTGTCGAACATCAGTAAAGCATTATGGAGTGCATTCAGGTGGGTTCCCCTCCAGCGAGTGAGGCCTCTGCCATTGCTCTGCTGAGTCCATGGTCTGGCTGGGTCCAACCCTACAGCCCCATGCGGTTAGTAATCATTCTTCTAGGATTTGTTGGGCAAGAGGCTGCTTTTGCTGCTGATCTCACCAGGCTACCTTTAGCTGGGTTCTGAGGTTCCACCACCGAACCCAGACCTTAGTGATTTCACTGGGTAGTGGGGAGCCTGCCGACACTTGCATTGCCTGTCACTGCACGCTGTCTCCACGGCCGATGTAAGGCTCAGCCCCTAGACCTGGAGAGGAAGGGTCAAATGGCATCTGGGACCTTTAAACAAACTCCTCCCTACCAGATAGGAAGATCTGTCCCCACCCCCTCTGAGTGTCACTTGGATATGACTCACTACCCCATGTTTAGTGAGTATGCCTTTTAATTGTACACTAAGGATCAAAGCATTTAATTACCCCTGCTTTCAAGGCTTAAGTGAATTTTAACCCAAAACAGCGAAAATTAGTCACTTGGCAAAGTAGGTGGTGTGTCTATGCTAATAAGGTCGGCTCATGAGGTCTTTTCCTCCAATTTCTCTACAGCTGACGGGAAAGCTCTCCTTCAGCCCGTTGGCGTACATCTGGGATTACATTTTTCTTCAGATTTTTTTCTGTAGGCCTGGGGATAATGTTACAGGAGAAGCAGCGGGGTGTTGTGCAGGCTGCCGTGCAGACGTGACGCAGATGCACAGGATTATATTCTGATTAGGAATTTGAAAGAACCAAAGGGTTATATAATTTCTTAGCCCCTCTTTCTCAACATGCATCCTCTGCTGGCCAATATAGAAGAATGACCTCCTATTCCTTTTCCCTGTGTTGGAACTCAGATGGTGTCTTGTCAGGAAAATCACTTTGTTCCATCTTTAATTTGATGTTGGTGCTGGTGAAAGTTGCCAGGCCCTGGAGACTGAATTTCTTCATTATAGCCACAGAATAGAGTTTCCTCACGAGAGGAAGGGTGGGGAGGGTGCTTGCCTGGGACTCAGGAGACCTGGTTCAATTTCCTACTGTATCACAGATTTCCTGAGTGACCTTGGGCACATCACTTAATCTTTCTGTGCCCCTGTTTTCCCATCTGTAAAATGGGGATAATAGCACTTCTTGTGGGGCTGTTGTGAGGAATGTGTGTGATTGTGAAGTGCTCAGATACTACAGTTATGGAGAGGCATAAAAGTACCTAGGATTCATATACAGAATAGGCATCAAACTAATTGAGATAGTGCAAGCTTAAGCTAACATGCTTAAGCCCTGATCTGGGTGTATTTCAGTCTTCACATGCTTTAGTCTATCCGCTGAGACTATCCAAAAGGGTGCTAGTGAGGACAGTGTTTGTTGTTTGTGATGTGGATCCCTGCCTGCCCAGAACTGGACTGAGATCAACAAACATGTTTAACATAGTGTGCTAAGCTGCCATTTGAGGGTAATGATTTGTTTTGGTTGCTGCCAGCCTGGCTTAGATTTGCTTCACAGCCTTAAAGGTTAAAGACTTCAGAACTCCTTACATTCCCTGAGCCATCCAGTCCTCTCCAAGCTCGGGAAGACAGCACAGAGCAGATCAGACAGGGAGCAGAGAGTGTAATAAGTAACAACAACTGCTACCTGAGCACAACAGCCAGGTTGCAAAACAGAAGCATCTGCCTTTTGTGTTGTGTTGGTAGGGAGTGGATAAAAATATCACCATCTGTTTCTTTTTTACAAGGGGAATTGACAAGCTACCCTTGACATTTAGAGTAAATATTTTACCAGAAAGAAGGAAATTATTTTTTTTTTTAGTTTTTCAGGGTATTGTTTAAAGCCAACAATTCTTAGAAGAAGAAAAAAAGGAAAACAAAAAACCCACCATTATTTTATGGCTGTGCACGTAGCTCTGGAGTTTAACTCTATAGGCACAGAGACACACAAGGAATAATGCAAACTTTCAGAGAGCATGAGGTTTATCCGTCATGCACCTCAATAAAGCCAAACGTCGCTGTCACACGTCCGAGCCCACAGTGACCCCTGCTGGGGGAATGACACAGTCTGGGGAGGATGGAGATTAGACTAGAACTCAGACTGGGAGGTAGTTTAAGATGGCAAGAGGCAGGTTATTGAGATAGGAAATCAAAATATACCAAGGGGGGGGGGTGAAAATGCAGAGGGACACTGAGCTGGGCAGAGCAGGGAGAGACCTTGGGGAGCCCTTGATAGGATCAGTGTAGAATGGGGACGTCAATCAGGAAGGAAGACATCCTTGTCCCATCAGTGAACAGGTGCTTTACATTTTGAGTGCCAAGTTTTCAAAGGAGCCTTTAAACCTATGTCCAAAAAACAACATACACACACACACACGCACGCACACCCCGCTCTATGGGTGCAATTGCACGTTTTTTTGTGCATCAATGCCTGACTTTCCATGCCTACATTTGTAAGCAGCTTGGCCATAAAGACTAGATTTACAAAGTGTTAGCCCCCTAACTCCCATTGATGTCAATGGTACTTTTGTAAATCTCACTAGAAACCTATTTGCCCCTAAATACCTTTGTAAATCTGTCCCTAAATGACTTGATGGATTTTTTTAATATAAACAAGCTTAGTCCTCTGATTCAAGTATTGCCCTTGGTATAACGGTGTAGTTCATCTTCTACTCCTTTGTTTTCCTGCTTGTTTCTATCTTGCTATTGATTGCTTGTGCCTTCTCCTTTAGCCCTACATTATAATCTAATCTACAGTTATGAAATTCGAGGTAATGCCAGAGAGATAGGAAGCGATCCTGTAGCGTTGAAGGTTACTGCTTATGCTCTTGTGGTGAAGTTCTCAGTTGACTCACAAAAGTGGTTGAATATCTGATGTCAGCAGTGAATGGGTAGAAGTAAGATAGGATGAAGGTAGGAAATGTAGTGGCTCAGGAATCTGTGTTGGACCCAGTCCTGTTCAAATGGTGTATTAGTGGCCAGGAAGAGAGAAAGTGGAACCAAGCGCATGCATTTGTGAATGACACAAAACTAGAGGCTGGATCCAAAGGGAGATGGGATCCAGACCAGAACCGAGAGAGCTTGTCAAATTGCATTATAGAAAAATACAAAGTGATGAGGCTTTGATGAACAACGGGTGGGGGGAAAGATGACATCCTGGCTATGTGCTCTAGAAGGCGCTAATCAGGAGATAGATCTGGGAGTGACAATGGGTTAGATTAAAACCATCAGATCTATCTCTGGCAGTACAAGAGGCCAGAGGGACCACATCTGACATACAGTAGAACCTCAAAGATACGAACGCCAGAGTTACGGACTGACCGGTCAATTGGACACCACGTGAAACCAGAAGTAACCAATCAGGCAGCGGCAGAGACCAAAACAAACAAACGAAAAAAGCAAGTACTGTACTGTGCCTGTATTGCAGCTTAAAGGTAGGCACATCTGGGCTGCCTGTCCTCACTCCCACATGCGGGGCAGCCACTTACAGCTAGGAAGTGAAGATGCTGGAGCTGCCAGCCCAAGGCAGCCAGAGCCAGCGGAGCAGGACCAGTGCTGGGGTCTGCGCCGCTTTCACCCCTCCCTCGGCCGGGAGGCGGACACACTGGTTTCACCCTCCCTCCCCCAGCCAGGAGGGGGACATGCTGTTTTCACACACACCCCACCCCCAGCTGGGAGAGGGACAAGCTTGCAAACTCAGTGGGACCCAGGGAAAGAAGCTGCCTGCAAGGAAGTTGCCGGTGCTGGAGCCCGAACTGCGCTTTGTTCAGAGTTACGGACACAACCTCCCTTCCCGGGGTGTCCCTAACTCTGAAGTTCTACGGTATTAGATTGGGAAAAGGTGCCAAAGCTCTTTACAAGAAAGATACAAGAACTGAGAGTGCTGCATAAGGGGTCAATCAGAAGACAATAGAATTTCTCAGGTTGGCAGGGGGAGGTGTGCCTTACATGGAGAGGTTACTCAAATTAGATCTGTATTCATTTTTTAATAAGGTGGTTAAAAAGGACATGGCTGGGGAGGTGTAGGCAATGGAGTGGGAGAAGAAGACATGGGAGTACTCTGTACTTTTCCCTTTCTGTGAGCCTGCTCGAAAGCCCAGTGCAGTTAACAGAAGCCTTTCCACTAACTTCAATGGGCTTTGGATTAAGATCTGTGTACCTAACTCTTACTACGTATGCATTCCCACCTGCACCTTCTCTTCTTCCCCATTCCACACACGAGGCTCCCTGAGTACATATGAAGTTTCCCCAACCTCCCTTAGATCTCAGTCCTTTCATAGCATCTTGTACTCTCTTGTTTTTCAGCCACACCCCATTTCAAACAGCTGTTTCCCTAGTCCACACTTATGCCTGTGCCTCGGAGCATGGAAGGATTCAGAGGAATGTTGCAAGGACAGTGTCTAACCTGCTTCTTGTGCCTGCTTTTTCCCCTAAGGGTCATTAGTCGAGCACAAGGACTGAAGCTGGTGGTGGAAACCCTGATGTCATCCCTGAAGCCTATTGGGAACATTGTGGTCATCTGTTGCGCTTTCTTCATCATCTTTGGAATCTTGGGAGTCCAGGTGGGTTCCCTGCAGGGCTCTTTGCCTGGAATCCAGGCAAAGCTGGAAATAGAGGCAAGCCCAAATAAAGAGGAACATCTTGGTATCTTTGCCACTGTTTGCGAGCTACAGGTCTTTGAGGGGCCCAGATTAAGGTGAGTTTCTTTCTGGGATAATTCCCCATCCAGGAACTGAAATAGCATGAAAAGAGCAAGATTCATATTATTCCAGCCCTAGCCATGGCTTACTGAGTCTTTTGCACTTTTCACGGGCTTTTAAAATGAATCATAGGCTAGACTTCACACACGTGCACTCTTAGTACCAGTGGGCGCAGCCATGAGTATGAAAAATTATGGTGGTATGACTTCAACCTCTTTCTTGGTTCTGTCGGGGAGGTGAGATCTGTGGGTTAGTGGGTGGGTCTAACCCCCTTCAAGCTAACCAGTGCATACAGTAATACTGCTCTCTAAGGGCACATCTACACCACAGGCTAAGGTGTAATTGTAGCGTGAGTAGGCCCGGCCCGCATTTACTTTAGCTAATAACACGAGCAGTGAAGATGTGGCTGCATGGACCCTGATGTGGGCTAGCACCCTGAGTATGTAACTAGGGTTCCTAGTGCGCTTGTACCAATGTCTGGACTGCCACGTTTTCATTGCTGTTGTTACCGGTGTTAACTTGATTAAAGCTAGTGCGGGTTTACTAGCACTGTGAGTACAACTTAATTTGCGATGTAAACATACCCGAAAACAAGCACTGACTGAGGGGGCATGCTGATCCCGCTCAGCGTGTCAGCCAAGAGTCGTCCTCACCATGCCCCCTCCATCCCCACCATGAGGACTTGTGCTCTGCCTGGCAGAGTTCCTGTAGCAGAACATGAACTGAGCTATACCTAGGCTGTCCTTCCCCCAGGACCAACCAGAGCAGAATTTGAGTCTATAGTTAATATAATCCGATCCCTACCATGTCCCACTAGGAAATCCCAGTCCAAGGAAACTATTCAATTCAATTCTGTCTCCTATCTGTGGTATTAAAGTTGGAGAGACAATGTCCCCTTTTTTCCCCAGCTTTAAACTCATTGAAAATAGAAACTCTAACTTTCATAGCTGGGAATCCGCTGGCTTCTAAGCGCAAAGGAAAACTTGTCCCGGTAGACTCCGTGCAGGGTTCTGAAAGTTTACATAGTTAGAAGCTGGTGAAAATATTGATTTCTGAGCCTTCTGCTGTATCAAGCAACCTGGATACCATCTGCTGTCGTCATCCCCAGTCCTTGGAGTGCAGGAGCCCAAGGGAAGAGACTGGAGAAAAGTTTCCATCTCCTTGTAATAATTTCTAATCATCTGAAAAAGAAAGAGATTCTATCTGATGGATATTTCAGCACGGTTTCCTCTTTTCCTGGTGAAGTTTATTTGATCTGTCAAAGCTGGCTTGGAAACTGGCTCCCAGTTTGGAAAGAGGGCTTTCGTAACATTTTACATTAACGAATGTACTTTAAATAACTAATAAATATAGCATTCAAACCCGACAGAACAAAAGGGAAGAATCATCCCATGCATGACAATTTTTGCATCTAGATTGATGTATAGGTACAGCGCGATATCCATCCATTACACTTCACATCCATCCATTGCCCTAAACAGGACCATAAAACCTAAGCACATCCCATAAAATAAAATAATCAGATCCAAAAGAGTTTATAACAGGAAAAAAAAAATCTGTCACACTGAGCTGTTTGAATTTCCTTTCTGCTAATTGTGATAGCTTTCCCCAGTGCCTCTCCCGGTCTTCTATTCAGTTGTCACCATTACACATTGACACATTTACAGCTCTATATACAAACATTAGAGCTGATCCTGCATTCAGCATGCAAAATTCCCAGTGATGTCAATGGGAGTTCTGCATGCTGAATAACTGTAAAAGCAAGGCCCTCATTTATATCAAAGAAACCAAATCTTAGATTGCTCAGCGTTAGCATGGTTTTTTTTCCTCCATGTAAGTATAAAATGAAGATCGATAGTAAGCTTCAATCTTCTAGAGTTAACAGGAAAAGGCAGTCCCTGCCCCAAAGAGATTACAGTCTAAATAGACCAGACAGACAGAGTAGGAAACAGAAGCACAGAGTTTGTGATTTGCCTAAGTGCAAGAACCTAGAATGGAACCCACTTCTCCTAAACCCCAGTCTATTCTCCTGCCCCCTGGATTGCATTGGAATGCCTGCTATTTATTTATCGTATTACATAGATTTCTGAAGTGTGCGTCATGGTAGCGTGTGGATAGTCATTCACTGCCAGGAGTAGGAAGTAGAAAAGCCAGAGTCGCTCTGAAACTTTGGACCTTCGATTTTCAGAAGTGCTGAGAATCTGAACCTCTAGCATGAACTGCCAGTAAGCGTGAGCTGCCAGCACTCAGTGTGTTTGCAAATCAGATCCTTTTATGTTCCTCTCCAGTTTATGGTTGTGTAACAGGGCCCATCTGAATATTATTATACCCCTAGTCATGAAGATATTACACTCATAGCCAATGTATTAAAATCAGTGTTCACCTTCCTGTTTAATTTGGAAGAAGGTATCTCCATGCGGATCCTTAAGGGAGCTATAGCCATCCTAGATCTAAAAGTTTTATGGCTACAATAGATGTTGGTTAGCTCTGTGAGTCAGAATCCCTGCCCTTCTAGTGGAAAGTGTTCTGCTGCCAAAGGAAATACATTAAGTAATGTATGGGTTTGTTTTGCTCTCTGGGGCTTGTATTTGTTTTGTCTAGAACAACAGATCATAAAGAGTGAGCATCTCTTGTTTCAAATACACAGATGATATTTAAGGAGCCTGAATAGAAGGCTGCTCTGTCCCAGGGAAGCGTGGCAAGATGCTGTCACTCAGCAGAACAGGATTTCCTATATGTCTCGTTCACTCTGATTTCACCATCAATTGCCACGTCCCAAATAGAAATCATGCACTGCCATTTTCTGTGCCGCTTTGCAGAAAGCAACAAGTCTAGAATTAAGCAGCTGATGCTTCTCTGAGGTGTAAATCGGGAGTAACCCCCCCTGGAGTCCATGGTTTTATGGCCATGGTAGGGAGACCAGGATCTGGCACCAGGGAGCAATAGGAGTTCATTCTTTAACTCTGGTTATAAAAATATTTGCAGAGACTCTCCTGAAGAGCAGTCTAATGATTGATGGAGAACAGTTCTCAAGCAAGGGGATTTAGTGTCATTGAAAGTTGCTGGGTTAACAGCCCTAGAAATAGAAGTCTCATTGATCCACCCCACAGGTCCAGCAGGAGAACGAGGTTCTGCCCACACCACTCCTCACTTTGACCATTGGGAATAAGAACATATTCCATTGCTCTGACACATTGATTCCTTTTTTTCTCTGCCAACAAAGACTGTCAACCAAAGGGCGGAATTAGGGCTAATTTTGTTGGCCACTCTTGTAAGACTTTTCACTGGCAACTGGACTGAGACCACCATACGCATTTCACATAGGTCACTGACCAGCCATCAGATGGTAACACCTACAAGCCTGGGCTGGATTTGAACCAGTGCCCTAGAAGCAGAAGGCTGTAGAGGATAGTCCTAGGGGCTACCCAGCCTCCTGCAAGGAGACCTTCAAGATCAGTGTCCTAAATTATGTTAGAGGAGGCGTTCAAGCTTTCTCTCAGTAGGTACCTTTGAACTAAACTGTCACTATTGTTATGCCAGGCTTCATGCTTTGAGTGCCATGCACTAACGAGGCTTTTACCTTTAACTTGATTTGATTGTGTGGGCTGCACAGTAGGTCCCAAGTGAGCTGTCCATTCTGTGCAGGTAAACAAAGTGGATTTACCCCTCCTCTCATTCTTCTGTTTTACAGCTTTTCAAAGGGAAGTTTTTTGTCTGCCAAGGGGAGGATACCAGAAACATCACAAACAAATCAGACTGCGCAGAAGCCAGCTACAAATGGGTCCGGCACAAGTATAATTTTGATAATCTCGGCCAGGTATTACTGGAATGGTAATCTGCTTCTTTGCTCCTTTACCTCCTTGATTTAAAAATCTGTGCATAATTACTTATAGGGTTTTCTTACAGGGGTCTAAGCAGCCACAGTCACTATTCACTTCATATACACCCACCCTGCATTTGTAAATCCCAAATGCAATGCTTCCAAGCATGCACACACTTCCTTTTGGAATAAGACAAGCACAAGTAGCTTCACGGTGTACTTAATTGCTTCACTGCTCTATAATAAACTAAATACATCTAGCAGCAGGGCTTGACTAATGTGGCTGGACATCCTGTACCCGGTGCATCTCAACATCCCATTCATTTACAACTGCCGATGGAGCACATCCTTATTTTAGCAGCATGGTAGGGCCTAATTAGTAATGAGCAGTGGAGACCTGGAGGGCGAAAATGAAGCTGCCTTTGTGTTTGGCTTTGTGGTTTTCGAATTAGCCCTTATTGCTGGACCGGTGTCTGACATTGACAGGTTTTTGCTGCCAGGAAACCTTGGACATCAAAAGTTTCCTATTATCGGCAAGGTAAAATAGTAGCACAAATGCAAATCCCAAAATGGAGAAGGGCAAAGGAGAGTTGAATGTGACAGGTAAAAGAGAGCATCTAATAAGCTGGGTTCCAACTAAATGCAACTTTTTCCCTTGCATTTCTAGGCCCTGATGTCTCTGTTTGTTCTGGCCTCCAAAGATGGGTGGGTGGACATCATGTATGATGGCCTTGATGCTGTAGGAGTTGACCAGCAGGTATGTTTTCTAGATGAACGCCTAGTAGAGAGAAGCCGCCAAAGTGGCTATGGTTTGGTTTTCATTTTACAAAACGTTGTTCGTCTTGCAAAAGTGAAACATTGGGGGGTGGTTTGGATCTGGGTTCCATTTTATCCAAACCAAGGCGCGGGCATGACAGAGGTCAAATGAAAGGTTCCAACTGGGACCCATCTCTACTAGTTATACACTGCAACAAAACCATGCTATGACATAAGTGTCAATAGCTCATTGTACCCACTTATGGTGCTTGAAGAAATGTCCAGCGTAGCTGTAAAATGGGGAACCCTACCTATCTGAGAGGGGTTTTGTGAGCCTGAAGAGTCTTTGAGCGCCTCTGGAGAAAACTGCTACTTTGTCTATGTACAGATTACTATTATTGCTGGCCTGGGAGAGTTGCAAAGGATTCTGTTACCTCACTCTTTGGCACAACAGACCATTTACGCCTCTTCAGTATTCAAGTGACTTTGGGTGCCCAATTCGTGACACCTCAAAGGAGCCTGATTGTGCTGAGCACCTGCTGTCTGAAAGTCACCTTTAAGGTGTCTTAAGTTGAGCACCTAACATCTCTAGCTGCTTTTGAGAAAGCAGGCCTTGCTGTTCTGCTCCGTCTACCTCTTCAGGGTATGTCTACACTGCACTGCGGCTGGAAGCAAGCCTCCCAGCCTACGTAGACAGACTTGTGCTAGTGGGGCTCAAGCTAGTGCGCTAAAAATAGCCATGTGGATGTCGCACCTCAGGCCCATCCAACCCCCTAGGCTTGAAACTGCAGCTGGACCTGCAACTTCCACATTGCTCTCTTTAACATCCCAGCTCGAGCCTGACTAGCAAGAATCTGTCTACTCTCAGTTTGCTCCGTACTCTGCCTGTTGTAATTCAACTGGCATCTATCTCCCTCCAACCTGTAGCCAGTTATGAACTATAACCCTTGGATGCTCCTCTACTTCATCTCCTTCCTGCTGATTGTGGCCTTCTTCGTCCTCAACATGTTCGTGGGGGTCGTGGTGGAGAATTTCCACAAGTGTCGGCAGCACCAGGAGGAGGAAGAAGCCAAGAGACGGGAGGAGAAGAGACTTCGCCGGCTGGAGAAAAAGAGAAGGAGTAAGGAGAAACAGATGGCTGGTCGGTAGTCTTTCCACATCTTTCTGAGTCCTGCTTGACCTTTGACACAATCCCCTAACCCCTGCCTAGCATCTGATGATCATTCTCCTCCAAAAAAAAGCATGTCCAAGCTATGAAATTTGCATGAAGGAAACAGCGCCATGTTAGGCTGAGCAGGAAGCCATGGCTGCATGATTTGCAATGACCTTTTCATACAAGGTTATTTAAAACCCAAAAACCCGAACCTGGAGCTTCGTGGATAGCACAACTCAGCGTTACACAAATAGTGACAACTGCAAAGATCAACAGTGTCAGACGAGGCCAGAAATCTTCCAAGTCTCGAGCACTGTTGCTGATAACTGGATTCACTATTTGGTTTATTACAGCCTTGTAATGCCACGGCAACATTACCTGTCTAATTTATCAGGCAGGTTAATTTGTTGGCAAAGTAGCTCTAGGGCTATTCAAGGATGTAATAAAATAATGAAGCCATCTTATTCTAGAAACGCTTTTTAAAAACACCCTATAGATACATATCAATGAGTTTGCTTGAGAAATACAGATTGAAAAAGAATTCAGTAAGACAAATTAACCAGATGTACTGTCATTGATGTGAGATAAATTGAACGATAAAGCTTGACACAAACTTGTGGCCCTCTTAGAATAACGTAGCTTTAAAAATTCTATAATGTAGCGGAATGAAAGGATGCTAGACCTGCGCACTCGGTCAAAAGTCTAAAAACCTGACCTTTTTCTTTTTACTTCAGTTTTGGTTTGGTTGAAAAAGCAGGAAATAACATTCAGGTCAGAGGTCAAAGGCCAGAGGTACTCTTCTCCATCTTGCATGCTTTCTGTTCTGGTTGCATTTTTTCAAATGCCCATCTCTTCATGGTATCTCTCTTGTTACCCTCTCCCGTTCGGTCTCCTTACTACTTGTCTCCACTCCTTTCACATTTCATTTTCTATCTTGGACGGACGTCACTGATGTTTAAGAGTCTGTCTCCGATCAGGAGCTTGTGCTAGGAATCTGAAAGCTGGTAATGTTAAATCTGAAAGGTTTATAAAAGTTGCGATGAGCTTAGTTATACTGCTGCAGCACAAATATCACTAAGGCTCCCATTCAGAAAACACTTAAGCTCATGCTTAAGTCCATCCCTTTGCAGCATGGCTCTTAAGCATGTGCTTCGCTTGAAGCATGTGCTTAAATCCCATTGATTTCTATGGTATTTAAGCACAATGCGTATATGTTGTCCCAAATAGGGTGCTTTTCCGAATCAGGGCTTAAGGCCCTGATCCTGCAGTGAAAATGGCATGGCCAGAGCTCTGCAGCTGCACAGCACCCAATTGCCTGCACTGCAGGATCTGGGCCTAAAGAAGGAATATTCTAATATCCTGGGTACATTATAGCATCTCCAGATTCCTGCTCAGAACTGCGGCTCAATCAAAGAAGAGACTGTGCCCCAGTTCCTTTCTGGGTGTTACAATGAGCCCAGTGAACTTTGGGAGATGTAACCAGTACTGTGTGGCTCTTCACCCAGTGTGGACGCAATTAATAAAGCTCCTAGTTATGGATCTTATCTGTCAGTCTCAATTAAATGGGATACAGCTGATATATCAAAGGATTTTTTCCCTCCAAACAATTAATATGTATCGAAAGCGCTTTAGGGTAGTCTGAATTCCCAGACGCAATTGCTGAGTGACCGCTGCTTCCTTAGACCATACAGTTACATGCTGGATGCCAATGTCCCTTTTGTATGGTTTGGTTTTGGAAAGAAAACATTCTAAATGTCATTAGAATAAATCTACAGAGATATTATGAATGACCTTATTTATAATGCTAGAAGAAAAAAGATGAATCAGACGTAAGGCTGGTCTGGGAAAGAATCACAAAGCATCCTTGGAGATGTGGCTGTTTGCATTCAGTTCTGTAAAATGTCTAATTAAAGAGGTAATACTCAGATCGTCTACTGAGGAACAGAAGACTGCTGAGTGCTAAACCTCCTTAAAAAAAAGAAAGACATGAAGCCTTCCAAAGCTTTAGAACAAAGCTTTTCTCAGTTAACATTCAATGAAAATGTTGGTTTTGACTGGAAAGATCCAGTTTTGCTCTCAATGACAAGTAGGTGTCATTGCTTTGCTTTGCCATCTGTAGTTGTAACTGGCATGCCATTTCGGGATAAGGAGCTTGCTTCTACCCTCAGATCCACGATAGCAAAACTGGGGTTTCCTTTATGTCAAAGTTGGCCTTGTCGCTGATTTTTGTTGTTGTAGCTAATAGTAGGAATGAGTTTAACTGACTGCACGGTCGTTTTTTTAAATGCTAGTCTATTCCCATAAGAAGACAGAGTGCTGCATATGAAAAAGAGAAACATATGGGCATACCAATACAGAGCGTACATGACAGATGTAGAACCTAGCTGTGTAGTATGCAGGATTGCAAGCAGCAAATTTAGCTATTCCTCTGCTAATGTGAAATTCATCCTCTGCTAAAGCTTTTGCATAAGTCCTCCTCAAACCAAGTGGTATGTAGGTCTTCTGCTGGGGTGAATTGGCCCTACCTTTTTAAGGGGGGAAAGTTCTGTCAGTTAACCTGCCTCAACCTCATTGAGTCCATTGAGGTCGCACTGGCGTAAGTGGGGGGAGCATCTGGCCCTTAGTTTTACCCCACTGTATCAGAAGGGGCAGGGATAGCAGATTCCACTCACCAAAAAGATATCTAGGAGAGAACATTATTAGAACTCTTCGTGCTACAGCCATTACAGACCTGGCTAGTTGACGGGAGAACTGTACAAACTGTTGAAGGGGAATGAAACTCTTGCCGCGCGTCCTGCCAGATGATTAATGTCGTTTCATTCTTTTAGATCTAATGCTGGATGATGTAATAATGGAGAGCTCAGCCAGTGCAGTGCAAGGTACTGGGAAATCTTAACGTCTCGTCTCACTTGAATGGCAGTGCTGTGTAACTAACGGCTGGCCAATGCTGCTGTGAGGCATCCCACTAAACTGTGTGTGTGGTGGAAGTCTTGTTTGCTTACTTCATGGCACAGGCGTATCATCTTTAACTGGCAGGTCTGCAGACCTGACTCAGGCCAGGCACTTGCAAATCTTAATTTACACCTTTTATCGGGGGGGGGGAAGGCGGGGGTTCTGTTTGTTTTTTTTAATCATTTTTCCGGTTTTCATCCAAACATTGTCAGACTTTTTGTTTTTGAGAATAGTGACTGGATTTTGAAATGGGTCCTGTGTTGTTCACACTCACTTTCTAACCGTAAACCCTTAGGAGTTTCTGAACATTCTGCAGCGGTATCCCTGGAAGCCAAATGACCCAGCTAAAGTAGGGTATTTTTCCAGAACTAGCTTGTTGCATTGCTAGTATTCCAGGAAGAGAAAACCGGCTAACTCAGAGTGAAACCCAGCCCCTGTGCATAAGGCTAGTGCATAGCCCTACAGCAGAAGTGGGACATAGACCCCATGCTGGCAGTTTGCACAGGGGTAGATTTCATCCTCCATGCTGTCAAACTTACAGCCACAGGAAGTCCCCAGGTTATTGGGTCCAGCTCGACCAGGGACAGGTAGAGAAGATAACAGCCTTGGGTGGGTCACAAGGTCCTTCATACCAGCTGAGAGCTCTGTGCAGATACCTTGAGCACCTTGGGGAGATGTACGTGTGCCATATATGGACAAATTCTCTGTTGTGGATCTCAAGGACCTTCCCCCATCTGGCAGAGCACAGCTGGATGAACTAAGTTGTAGGGAGGTCACTCACTGAATTCTGGGCTTTAGCTACAGGGGCCCCATTGAATGGCCTTATTTCTGTGCCAATGGGGTCCTGAGTCAATGGAAGGTTAGCCATTAACCCCTGAGGAGCTGGGGAAGGAAATGTGAGGTTAGCACTTTTATTCTCACTGCAATTTCCCTACTAGAGCTAGTGGAAACTTTTCAAATTTTAATGATTTTTTGTTTTAGCAAAATTTCAGATTTCAAGGGGAAAAAAATGTTTTCTTGATTTCTAACCAGTTCGATTCACACCACAGCCCTGTCTGCAGAAAGAATGTTTAAGTTTCATTAGTATCTACAAGCCATAGTACATCAGATCTTGTAAGTCAGGTGAAACAAACTTCAGAGTCCTGGAGAAGACGGGGGGAGCTCTGATTAGAATTGCTAAGAATCTAATCTCACCCTCTCCTGTCTACTTAACTCACTTCTCCCCCTTTCATTCATTCCTCACCAGAAGGTGCTTCAGGCTGCAGATCTTTCCTCTGTTTTTTTTTAAGAAGCAGCAGCTTTGATCTCAGCAGTAGTTCTTTTTTTAAATCATGAATTGTTAAGAATTTTAGTCTGAATAATTAAAGATTTGTTAATATTGAAATAAATCCGTAAGTGCATTCAAGGAAAATTACATGTCCAAAAACCATTCCAGTGAAAGGGCAGTGAGTCCTGGTCCTGCTGTTCTCAGTCAGGCAAAACTCCCATGGAAAATCAATGTTGCTCATTCATTGGTGAGAAATAACTCAGGCAAAATGAAGATCCTGATCTTCTTAGAATGAAAATGCCCCAACATGCTTTAATGAATCTGAATCTCCTCACCATTGCCACTCCTTGTGTTTTAATATCCTTGCCTTCATCCTCTCTGTTATTGCTAGGAGTCCAATCCTCCACCCCTTAATCAGACATCAGTGCCTGGGGAAGGATTGAAGGAGCAGGCCCTAGGTTTTTTTGTTTGTTTGTTTGTTTGTTTTTAATTTGGTTGTGAGCATCTTCACCACATAAGACCTCTTCCGGTCGCCAAGAGCTTCATCTAGCATTTTGTTTGTTTTGTTTGAATGCTTTGATCTCATTCCAAAACTGGCCATTATCCAATGCAGACTCAGAAAGAAACGTATAGTTTACCTTTAAAAGTGTGTGATTGTCAGATCTGTGCTTTTGTATTTCCTTCGTTGTCTTTTACTGGAACCAGTATTATTGAATGTGCTGTGCTGCTCTTCAGTCATCAAAGTGAAAGAATAGAAAGTCCTCTTTCTGAATTGTTGTGTGATGCTAAGGAATTAATATTGATGTTGTACTAGTCAAACCTTCTGTAGCATGATGAGAAATCCTAAGCTGAGGACCCAGAACTTCCATATGTCTTTGTATTTTACAAAGGGCTTCCTTTATCTTTATGTGACGATGAGATGGAGTACTGTGTGTCTGTGCTGTTTACTGGTGTTTAGTGGAGATTACTGTTATTATTTTGGATCTATATCCTATCACAGCTGGAAACTTCTCAGTGGGAATAATTTATCGTTTTCCATTTTGCTTTAAAAATGCCACTCAATGTTATAAAAGCCGAATAAAACAATGTGTTTACATGTAAAAGTTCCTTCAGTGCAAAACATTTTAAAGCTAATTCTGTCAGTACAGTTTGTAAATCCAGCTGCTTAATGTGTTCAAAGTTCACTGTTTTCCTGTTTACATCCCCAAAGTAAATACAGACCTTTACAAAGAAATGCATTCCTTAGTGGAACTATGCCACCCTGGTGAATTCCAGCTTCCACTGGTTGTGCAGTTCAGCACAGTTCTACTCTGAAAAGTGACGATGGAAAAATGGCAACTTCCTACTCTCCAGGGATGAATTCAGAGTCCAACCTGGTCTCTTGCTGCGTTTTATTCCGCTATCCCTACCAAGTGAGCACAGCTAGTAGAAAGGGAGTTGGATTCTCTTTTGGCTCCTGCATCCTCAATAATATTGTTTGCTGAATTCCAACCACACAGTCTTAATTATTGGTGATATGCAAGCCAGAAATAACGGAGCTTGACTGTCAGTTACGATACTAGCAGTTAGGAAAATCACTTTTATTCATACACGGTGCAAGTGAGTCACTGATCGTATGAATCACTGAATTATGGAATCGCTTTCCAGAAGGAAGCCACACTGTAATAGTTACTTGTTACAAGAATGGTTTGATTAATATCCAAGATTATAGAATCATAGAATATCAGAGTTGGAAGGGACCTCAAGAGGTCATCTAGTCCAACCCCCTGCTCAAAGCAGGGAACCGACACCCATTGGGGTGGACCGACACCCATTGGGCTCCTTGGTTCCACTTCCTGGCACTTGTTAAGGCAATCCTTTGTAATAACGACCCCACTGCATGGCGCATATAATCATCATAGGACCCCTATTCAGGAAGCTGCCTGGATGAGGGCACTGGAAATGACCCACTAAAACCAAGCCCCACAATGTTGGGCAGCTGTGACAATGGACTCAGCTGCCCATCAGGCTAGAGCATCATTTCCCAGGAGTAGTAGGGAAATGAGACTTATGAGTAGATTGTCCAACCTTCATTGCGTTAGTTGAGCTTTCCAGTTTAATTGTATCTAAATATTAGCGTTCATTCCTTCTCCTGTCCCACTCTTCACCCAGCCACAGCAAAGCAGTTTGATTTAGAACCTGTTTATCTGCCAGATTTGTCGTGGGCTTTTGCTGTATCTCGCATCCTCTTGCAGTCTTATTCTGCCTTTTTTTTTCTTTTCCTTTAATTCTCTGTGTGTCAGGAAGTGAGCTAACCTTTCCAGCAATAACCTAGACTAATCTGGAGCTCTTGTTGTTCTTGACACAGTGTATTGTAACAGTACGGTAATGTGGTGTTGTGTTAGTTGTGAGCTTCACCACCTGGAGCTTAACAGATGTCTGTATTTCCCAAGATGTTGGTATTGTTTAGATTTTTTTTCTGCAATAAATATGAATACTGCTGTTTGATAGGGGGCACGGAATTTACACCTGGAGAGTGCCAATCTGTGTAAGCCATCTTAAATACGGCTTCTTTATATCATCAGCAAGAAGAGCAACTGCTCTGTGCAAAAAGTTCCCTGCCTACCTAGATACAGTAGCTATTAATTTGTAGCCCACAGGCAGCACGGTATTTTTGTTTGTGGTTCATTTCAAGGTAATATCTGTGTTCCGCTAATATGCATGACCAGCATGTTGAGAAAGGGAAAACGAGTGGTGGTATGATTTATAAACAGGGTTGAGAAAACCCCTATTAATAAAGTTACTGGCAGGGGCTAAGTATCAGAGGGGTAGCCGTGTTAGTCTGTAAAAAGCAACAGAGGATCCTGTGGCACCTTTAAGTCTAACAGAAGTATTGGGAGCATAAGCTTTCATGGGTAAGAACCTCACTTCTTCAGATGCAAGGGGCTAAAATATTTACGGCCTGTAAATTAGTAGTATTGCAGATGTGTCGGTGATACTGACTTTCAAATTCAATCAGGAAAAGCATTTGACTTTGAAAAGTCCAGGGCCATGTTCACTGAAAGGTAAAAAAACAGTTAATGTTTTGGGGAAGGTTTGGCAACCCTGTTTATAAGGCCATGCTGTTACTAGTCCAGGTGCAGGATCTCTGCACAGGTAACATTTTACAACCTCTCTGTAAATCCCTGCTATATTCGAGGAGCTGCAGTGCTCTTCTGTGGGATTTGGAATTACCTGCCAATCAAAGCTAAAACATTTGAATTCCAGTATAATTATTCATATGTAAATCCACTGCAAGAAGAGGCAGAAATGTTGACATTTTCTTTTTCGAATGTGAATTATACAGAAACCTAAGAGAAATCAGTGATCAAATTATGATAGTGTTTCTTTTTGAAATTATAACCTGGTTCATAACTGGGCCCTATTGCTAACTTAATTGTATTCAAACATTTTAGTTAATTTATTACTCATAATTTAGCATAATGTGATCAAGATATCGTGGCTTTATGGAGATTTATGCAGATTTTGAGATCCCTGACAAAAAGTCGGGTGAGTCAGCAAGCCACCAGTTTGGGCTTTTGTTAAGTGCTCAATAGATTCAGCATTAAAATTTATTTTATAGACCTTTTCATTGCTGTTATGCTTTTGCACTCCAGTACAGATCACCTTCAGCATATTGCACATCCAAAAGTGAATATTAATACTGCCTTTTATTTTATGACACTTGAGCAGAATGTTGGGAGTTCCAAACCCTTCCCATATAAGCTGCTAAATGGCTTGTCTCTGGTTCTTAAGCGTTAAGGGAAAAGTCTGTCTCAGTGAAAAAACAAAAATTCTGTGATTTTCGGGAACTCGTGTCGTGAAGCAATGGGCATACAGTGAGGTTAAACCTATGGCTTTGGTTGCAGAATCATTGGCCATCTACACACCAAATTATATCCCCAGCAAAACTTAAAATTCGTTTTCCCTCTGGGTAACTGATACCTGTACTTCATGGCTTCATTATGCCCAAATTTCTATTTGGAATAATGTATCAAACCCCACATTTGTTCAGCAGTGCTAAATCTCGAGCCATGTAATTCTCTCGGCTCAATAATTTTTATAACCAGTTGATCATCTAATTATGAGGATAATATTATACACTGACATATTCAAGACAGTCCTTTCCACTTCAATCTGCATTATAATGCCTCCTTGAAAATTGTGCTGAATTATATACTCAGCCTTGGCATTTCCTCATTAGAGATTAGGTGAGTAAATTAGTTTATCTCCTGAAACATTCAGGGTCTGAAGAGCATGTGTCATCCCCAATGCAACTGAGCATGGAAGTCTAACAGTGAAATCTACAATTCCGTAATTGTGTATAAATGGAGGATTATTTTTCTAGACATTAAGGTAGACTGATCAGTTTTCCACAGTATTTATTCAATGTTTTTCAGAGCTCTGACCGCTGAAGTGTCAAATTTTGTCTAACCCCATAGTTCACTGCAAAGGAGATGAGTTTATTGCCGTCTCTTCAAATAAGACCAATAAAGGAAGGGCCTGTGTTCTCGAAGCCATTGTCAATACCGAGCTTGTGCAGTATCTGATTGTTGAACATGCTCTTCAGCTTCTGTTTTTGTCTATTTATTCTTTTTGTTTCCCCATTAAGTTAAAAAAAGTAGGGCTTTTTAATTTCTGTACAATGAAACAGTTCCTGGAACCCACAATAGTCCCAGTTGTACTCACCTCATCTCTAATACTAAAAGACTGAGTATTGTGCATGTTACATTAAAGATGTTTAAATGGATCCATGTTGTTGGTAGCCATGCTACATATTAAGGCTGGTAACATACCACCCAGGGAAAAAAACCAAAGCCTTATTGTGATCAATGTGGAAAGCCTCAATTTTGGAGTTTGCAAAGGGAAGGTGAACTTATGTTTAAGAGACACAGAGTAATGAGCTGATCTGCCTCTCCACTCTTCCCGCCCCCCGTTTCAGAAGCACAGTGTAAACCCTACTATTCCGATTACTCTCGCTTCCGGCTCCTGATCCACCAGATGTGCACGAGCCATTACCTGGATTTGTTCATCACTGGAGTGATCGGTCTCAATGTGATCACCATGGCCATGGAGCACTACCAGCAGCCGAAGGTACCGGGAGACAAGGAAGCTGGTGATAGCCAGTGATGGAATGGGGGAAAGAAATGTTCTCAGCTTTCACTGAACACTAGAGATGGGCAGAACGAGGGCCGGTTTAGTTTTACAAAACTTCATCTGTTGGGTGATGGTTTTGCATGATCAGCATTGGTGCCTTAGCCAGTGAGGCAATGTGGTTGGAGCAGAGGAGTGGGAGTTGGAAGTTCTGACCTCTGTTCCCAGTTTTGCTGCTTGACCCCTTAACTGGTCACTTAGGGTAGGTCTATACAACCGTCCGGTGGTGTGACTGCAACACATGTAGGCGTAGAGCAAAGCTAGCTCAAGTAACAAACAGCAGTAAAGCTGTGGCGGCATGGGCCAGATGCTTGAGTGTGTGCCCAGGGTCCCAGGAGGGTGCCTCTAACCCATGCTACCCTGCTATTGTGACTTGATCTGAGGAAGTAACTTTTCTCTGTACCTCAGCTTCCCCATCTCTTACCCTTTATAAATACTCTAAGAACGTTTAAAAAAAAACCCTACAATAGTGGTAAAAGTTGGGATGAACATTCCTCTAGCCAGTTGGCAGCGATTTATTTTTTCTTGAAATCTTCTCCTTGACTAAGTGTTTCTATGGTAACAGTTAGTAAGAAGACTGTAAAGTTTCTGGGTCAATTCCTGAACTCTTTACCCATGCAAATCTCCCACTGCTCATGTCTACACTAGAAGAGGTGTATTTGAACATACATGTTATAACTAAAACCACCTTGTCTGTACTAGGATTTTAACAGCTTAGCTAATACTTAATAAAAATGCACCTTTCCTCATGGAGACATGGCCAATGGGAGATTTGCCTCAGTGCCTACCCGGGACATTCAGCAAGCAGATACATGTAGGGCCTGATTTTCAAAGGTTCTGAATACCATTGCCTTCAGTTGGAGTTATGGCTACCCTGCATTTCTGAAAATCAGACTCTTAATCTATTAAGCGTGTCAGGATCCTGTATCTTGGGCCTGTTCCGATGATAATAAGAACAACCTGTACTGGGAAGACGACTGCCTTGTGCCGAAGAATGAGATGGAAATGGCCGCTGCTGCTGTATAAATTGTATTTCTTTTTATTAGCTCCTTTCAAAATGAATAAATGCAAATCATAATAAGGGTGAAATGTTCTTTGAGGCTAGACAGGACCTGCATGTCTAATGTAAATAACAAGTAAAGGGAAAAAAAGACAGACCCTCCCCTCTCCCCCCAACCCATCATAAGCTAGCCAAAAAGTAAAAGGGCACAAGCCCAATTTCTTTTTCCTTTCCAGGTCACCTTTAAATACACTGGGAAGCACATTGCGTGATTCAGTCACTTTCTGATTAAATCAGTCATTAACTAAGAAGCTTGTATTAGAATTACTCTAGGGCCTGTGCTTATTAAAGTCATTCCACAGCGACATTTTTACTTGTATTATAAAAACATTCATCATATTTTTCCCTTAAGGAAAGTAAAATTCTTTATCTAAGACCCCACTGTCCTAAGTGTACATAATAATGTTAGAATGAGAATAGTCACACGGAGGCGAATAGGATTACTTCTCTGATTAAAGTCATGCATGTGCTTATGTACTTTGCTGAATCAGAACCCAGGTGACTAAATCCAATCTGGAGTCTGATTATTATCCTGGAGATGTTTAAACAGATAAATGTTCTTAAGAGCTTTATATCCAACATAATATTTCACCGGGGTGGTGAATGGGATTGGTAATGGGATATGGATGGGAAGGGACTTTTGTCATCAGGACACTGGTCAAAATCCAGTAGAATCATAGACTAGAATCATAGAATATCAGGGCTGGAAGGGACCTCAGGAGGTCATCTAGTCCAACCCCCTGCTCAAAGCAGGACCAGTACATATCGCTGCTGAATAATGGCCACTTTACAAGCCGTGCTGCCGTAAGGATAGAGGCATAAGCAGTTTGAACAACTATTGATCAAATTCTGCTTTGGCTAATTACGTTCTACCGGTGCAGTTTTGGCTGGGCAGAGTTAAACTCTTCTGCAGTGTTGCAGTGAGCTGTTTAATAGCTGCGGCTTTCTTCCCCAGATATGGCTGCATTTCAGTGACAGGAAAATTGATTTCTCTTGATCGATATTTGGAGTAAATTGTGCCATGAAGCCACAGTCTGCAGTCAGGGGGTTAGTACTGAGATGCATGAGAAGCTCTTGGTAGATGTGGTGCCTCCTGGGGAGCGCAGCTGCTGCCTTTGGAGCAGGTGCACTCTCCGTCACCACAGAGCTGGCTCTGCTTCACATGAGAGCCTGGGACCAGCAATGGTGCTGGACTTGGACAATCCTTGTTGACCAGTTAGACTGGGGAGGATTGCACTCATGGGACCCACAGCACCATAGAATCACAGGACAGTGGAAGTATGGCATTGCTCAGCCTCGGTACAGGGGCAGAATGTGGGAGAAAGGGTCTTGCTCTTTCCCCATCACCCCTTTCCTGCCCAGCGATGGCTCACAATCATGGCATTAGCTTGCAGAACGTCTGATGATCCTTTAAAAGCAACTGCCATGACCCACATGGCCTTACTTACCCCTTGGAAACACATCCAATTCTATTATCACCTCTTGAATTACTTAGCAATAAACCCCGGGATGCCATTACTTCACTTGCAGCTTTCTCACTGAACTTTACGACACAACCTTTCACACCCCAGCTAGGGATCTGTGTAATATCACCCTCTCCCACATCACCTCCCAATGGCCCATACCCAGCTATTACTGTCACACCTTTCAGCAATGAGAAATATGATGCACATTGCTTACCAAGGAAATCTGCCCTCTTTTACCAATATGACCTTTGGAATAATACCACTTCTACCATTAGCTAGCGATCGACTGTGTAATAGGTGCCCTGCTGGCAGTGATGACTATCATTAGCAGCAAGGTGGTGACACAAGCAAAGGGGAAAGAACTAGGGAATTCAATATTGTCTGATGCTTTATCCATATCTCATGCCTTGCTGTGAGCTCAAGGTGAGGCACTAGCCTTATGGCTAATTTCCTGTTGCTTGTGCCAAGATTTGTACAAACCTTGGGCCAGACTGTGGCTCACACATTGGTGCACGAGGGCAGGTATGGTGCAAAGTGCCTTCCCCTTGCCTTGAACGTGCAGAGTACTAGCACACAAGGCCTTTGCACCACTTAGGCCCACGAATGCAGCCATTCCTTGGTGAATCACTCTCATCTAAATGTTTTGCAGACTATAGACCTCAATGCTCCCAGCGTTGAGCAGTCTCAAGAGGGACTTGAATAGTGCATAGGCTTTGTGCAGGCCCTCTGCACAGGGGTGAATGGTGCGGGCTGTGCAGGGGCTGTGCACAATTGCAGTCTCTGCACTCTCCTAAACGCAGGGACTTCTCCTTACTAGTTCCTCCTGGGACTGAAGTGAGCAGGGAGGAAGAGGGGCCATAACCCTGATCCCCACTCCTTCGTCAGTCATCGTTTATTTCTTATTAAATCCAAATTCTGGTGAAAACAGGATAGCCGCAAAACTGTCCAGCCAAGTCAGCCACTAACCTCAACTTTGTATCCATGTTCCAGGTTCTTGATGAGGCACTGAAGATTTGCAACTACATCTTCACTGTCGTCTTTGTCTTGGAATCTGTTTTCAAGCTGATTGCCTTTGGGTTTCGCCGGTTCTTTCAAGACAGGTAACAAAGATTAAATCCTGCAAGTCTGTGACAGGAGTAAGGGCTCAATAGATAATGGGCCAAATTCAAGGGTGATGCAAATCAGGGAAAGATACTTGCGCCTGATGTGTAACGTACGTCACTAGTGAATTTGGCCTTGAGACTTCCTTGGGAGCTGCATAGGGTCTAAATCTAACCCTGTGTTCTTGTTATATCATGAAATGAATTCTCGCCTTACCAGACAGCTGGCAGGTCTGATCTTTCTTCCCATTGTGGACTGGATAGAGTTGTCCTGGTGAGATCAACAGCCCAGGAAGAACTGCAGACATTGGCCTCTGTTGGCTTAGGATGAGCTGTAACTGAGTTAAGATATTTATACATTTAATATTGGCCCCCCTCAAACCTCTGACCTCGCATTTTTCATCTTCCTCAAGTCGAATGTCAGGAGCATTGGATTCATGCCAGACTTCATCCCTAGAGAAAATCATTCCTCCCCAACTTCTAGCTAGTTTGACATCACTGTTGTGCTCATCCTTTCTATCTGTCTAGCTCAAGTCTTTCTAGAGTGCCTTTCATTATGGTATAATCTTGGCATGTTACCTTCTGCCCAATGTGACTGTGTTACAGTGATTGATTGGACATTGGACCATAGCCTGCAGTTCTTACTTGGACAAAACTCACATTGAGTTCAGTGAGAGTCTTGCCAGACAAAAGGCTGAATAAAGACCGCAGGATTTGGCCTAATGTCTGGATCATCGGGTGTAAGCCCAGTCATGGTTTTATATTTTCTTTGGAGTTGGCTGATTCCATAATCTAAAAATAACGGGTTTTGTGCAATTCCCCTCAAAAAAGTTTCAAAAGTTTGTGTCTGTGAGCGTTAGCACCACTGAAATGACTGGAATTTGTTTAAAACAAACCAGCGCTCACTGCAAAGACATTAGTAGATGTGATTTTGTGTTGTCTTCAGATGGAACCAATTAGACCTGGCAATAGTGCTGCTGTCTATCATGGGTATCACTTTGGAAGAGATTGAGGTGAATGCATCGTTGCCCATTAACCCCACCATTATCCGGATAATGAGGGTGCTCAGGATTGCTCGAGGTAAGACAAGAGTCAATGTGAAAATCGTTTTTAGTTGAGGTGCAGTGAGCAGTTCTGCCCATGAGATGACTGGGAAACAACTGCATGTCACGTGCCCATCTTAGTGCACTTTGTTCTGGCATCCACAAACCGTAAGCAAATAAGAGAACAAAAGCAGGGGAAACATCCCAGAAGAGCCAAGGAGCTGAGCCAACTGGCCATGCATTTCTTAAGAGCACTTGCAGATCTAGATCTTCTTAGAAAAGAGAATCCACTGTGAACTTCATTGGTGGGTGAACCTGGAAAAGCAAACTTTGGCATGCTCAAGAAATCAAGCATGTCTCAAAGATCTGGAAACTAGATAGGGGTTTCAGGGCGCAACACAGCATAAGCTAAAGAGTTAGCAATTGATTTTAAAAAAAAACCAAGATGGTGAATAAATTTCATTTCCCTTGCCACATGACCTCGTGGTATTGTGTGAGACAACATGTCTACTTTGCTTTGTATCCAGATGTACCCTAGCGATGATGATGATAATACCTACTGCATTTGTGAGGCTTACTTAGTTAGGGTCTAATTTTCAGAAGAGCAGAACACCTGGAGCCCCAGCTGCAAGTGCTCAACACCTTTGGAAATCAGGCTCCAAATGTTTGTAAAGTGCTTTGAGAGCTTCATTATTGTCATGCCAAGGTGGTGGTGGTATTATTTATTCTAATTGGAACAAAGAAAGAATGGAAATAGATGAAATGTAGCTGAAGCCAGAAAGGAAGTCTCAGAAGAAAGGGAAATGTCTGTCACATTAGGTACATTTCAAAATGAAAAGCACATGCAGTTTCCACCAAGAAACTCAATCTTACAGACAAGAGCATGCAAATCAATGCCTACGTAAATCAAACATGAAGGCAGGCAGCCGCAGAACTCGGAAGGTAGTTAGTCCAAACCAAGAGGAAGAAAAAAGAGATCCAGGGATGGTAACTTAGGGAAGGTTATTTGCAGGGTTATATATTTAGTACTGGATTCAAGACCCAAGTAGGAGAAAACCCTAACGAGCCAAATTTCATCCCTGGTATAAGCCCCACTGAAGTCAATAGGGGTGAATTTGGCTTCCTAATTGTTTAGCTGTAAGCAGAATTCTAAAGGAATGTACATCTGGTAATATCTTGACCTTTCTAAACCTGTTTACTTCCCTCAGCAGAAGAGACTGTCAGGAGAAAAGGTCATTCTTACATTCCTAGCATTGTGTCAACATTGCCCAATTCAGAGAAAGCGAGAGAAGGGTGATTCTTTCCTGAAGCCTCAAGACACACGATGCTGCTATTCACAGGATTCTAACGGCATCTGGACAACCCAGAGCTCTATAACAAGGCCTTGAACTTTAGTTGCTAATGGAGAGCACGTGACATGATTTCATGCTTGAGGGATCTTCCTCTCTCTAAAATCTGTGTCTTCACACTAATGCTGCAGCAGTAATATTATGAACCTATCATTTTCTGCAGTGTTAAAGTTACTGAAGATGGCTGTAGGGATGAGAGCCCTGCTGGACACAGTCATGCAAGCGCTGCCTCAGGTAATTCATTGCCTTCGCAGAAAAAAATCTCATCAGGACCAGAGCTAAATTCTTATTGCAGAAGGGTGCTCATGGACCGTCTCCCTTATTTTTGTCTTCACTGTCATTAGAAAATTGCGTTTACCATTAGAAACTCAGTCTCAGATGCTATCCAGGTCATATCTCCCCTCAGGCAGTTTAAGTTTTGTATGAAAGAATACGGGGAGAAGCAGGTGTGGAAAAAAAATCAACTAATGTTGTTTCCCCCCACCACCACCACATTTCTTTTTCTCTTTCCAGGTGGGGAATCTCGGTCTTCTCTTCATGTTGTTGTTTTTCATATTTGCAGCTCTTGGAGTGGAGCTATTTGGCGACCTTGGTAAGTTCTCCACAGACATAGCGTTGCTGGAAGCAGAAGGAAATAGTTGTATAGAGGGGCAATGTGAAAGAGCTCATGTCTAAACGAGATTCTTCTGGTTGATCACACAGAATGCGATGACACTCACCACTGTGAGGGGCTAGGGCGGCACGCCACTTTTAGAAACTTTGGGATGGCCTTTTTAACTCTCTTCCGGGTCTCAACAGGAGACAATTGGAATGGGATAATGAAGGTAAGAGATCCCCGGAGAATGAATATTGACGGTAATTTCTAATCTTACAGGCTGTCTGTCACTGTTTCAAACCAATAACAGGGATCAGCTGGGGCACTCAAGCTATGACAGCCCCTGGACTTGTTGATTCAGGGCCTGGGCATTTTCTCAAAGCAATTCTTTTTCCTCTTGCCTGACAGCGCCTGGGTTTGCTGGCCTTCAGATGCATTGTAAGTTCCCAGGCTTTTCCTGAGGTGGTGGCTTGAGGACAAGGAGGGCGATACAGGGAGTTTTCTATGGAGTGACATTAGTTCAATTGAGTAGCTTGTTTTGTATAGGGAACTAGAGTCTCCGGTAGGCTCATTATTATACACTGGAGCAAATAACACAATTGTGCAACTGATGAGGTCTGGGTCGGTTAGGATAGTTGCACTTTAAACTTGCAAAATGGCCTTTCGAATGGAGACTCTAGGATAAGCCAGTCCTCTGGGAGTATAAGGGAGCAGACAGGTGCCGCCTGTTGGAATGCACTGAGAATAGTTAGTGTTGTCTTTGAGCCTGTGTTCAAGGCAGTATTCCCCTCCAATGTCACCTTGCACACCTGACCCCAATGACTGAGGTTTTGCTGGGGGGTCGTTTGCCCTTCTAGACAGATCTGAAAATCTTCCATGAAACTAGTCTGATCATCTGTGTGTGCTCAATAGACAGTTAATCCATTTGGGTCTTATGCTGGAGCACTGAGTGATCGATGGCCGGATCAGGGCCTCTACGGTTAACTGGAGCTTCCTCAGCTTCCATAATCATTTTCCCCCTATCACCAGGACACGTTGCGTGACTGCGACCCGGAGTCCACCTGTTACAACACAGTCATCTCGCCCATGTACTTTGTCTCCTTTGTGTTGACGGCCCAGTTCGTCCTGGTGAACGTGGTGATTGCAGTGCTCATGAAGCACCTGGAAGAGAGCAACAAGGAAGCCAAAGAGGAAGCAGAGCTGGAAGCGGAGCTGGAGATGGAAATGAAAACTATCACCCCAGGCCCAATCCCAGCCTCTGACCTCTTTGCATGGACAGGCGGTAATGGTGGAGAAAGACCTGAGAGCCCCAGAGGATGTACCAATCCCATGCAATTCAAGGTGGATTCTCAGCTCTCATTATTTTATCCTATGGTGAGAATCTCAGGTGGAGGGTGAAGAGCAGGTTGGCCTGCATATTTGCTAAGGGAGGATATGCACGAATTCCAATGAAGGACTGAGTGTACAGTGCATTGGGGAGTTGTATTCCTCACTATCTGTTGACTGAATTGCTGCATGTTTTGATAATCTATGCTACAATGTAGAGATCCTGAACCAGTCTTCGCACCAGATTGTCACTTCTGTTCAGGTGCAAAGAGCTCTGTGTCTGTTCTAGTGATGGGCCCAAGCCACAAAGTTCAGATCTGGCTCCAAATTTGGGGGGATGTTCTAAACCAGGGTTTTGGCTGGGGGGGGGGGGGGAGATACATTTTGCTGCATTTTTTTTCTTTTAAATGCTAAATAGTTTATATAAAATATAAATGTTAAGTTTAATATTTACCCCCATTCTGAACCAGTGCTCCCAGGGAAACGATTACTTTAATAATAGGCGAATCCACTGAGGGCTTGATCCTGCTCCCATTGAAGGCAATGGCACAGTTCCTATTGACTTTAATGGTGCAGGCTCTGGGCCATAGCTCTGTAGCTCTGCTTATATTTGTGAGCTATAAACGAGTTCCGCTAGTCTCTCAAAAACAGTTTCTGAAGGAGGACTGGGTTAGTGAGGGGATCCAGACGTCTCCATATTTAGTTAGTGGGGCCATGAAGTACAATTATACAAACATAAGAATGGTCCAGTCTCTAGTCAGATGCCCAGATAGCTGCAAGATCTGGAACTGTGTTTAATTTTTACACCCACCTATTTAGCTCTTTTTACGTATAAAATCGAAAATCTTGAGTTTCACATGAGTGAATTAAAAGACGTTTATTTGCCCTGTTTACTAGGCAAACGAATGAATATTCTTATGGCTGTAAAACTCATTTGTGATCTTTAGGAATGAAGACAGAGTAAACTCTAAACTCACGTTCAGGTCCTAAGCCGTTGGAAAATGTCTCTCACTATTAAAAATCACTGAGGTATGAGATGGATCCCAGAGCTGTCCTGACAGCACAAGGCAACGTGATTCAGGGTAATGAGGGGGACCTCCTTGGTAAATTACATCGTACTGCTCCTTCACCACCCCCATAGACAGACACATCCACCCCCTCTGAGCACATACTGCACACCGCAGCTTTTGTGCTTGGGGAGCGATGGGTTGATTGTGCCCTGCTTGGGTAAAATTGGCTAATACAGTAGCTAGTCTCAAAACCTAACGTTCTCTCTCAAGCAGAGAGTTGCAATCCTGCCCTGCTGCTGTGTGGTGAGCAAGTGTATAGACCACGTCCTTTCCTCCACACTAAAGCGTCCCTGCAGCAGACGGCAAGATTTTCTCCTTTATCTTTTCAATCTGTTTGGTTCAGTCTGTTCTAGGATTATCCTACATTGATCTTATTCTGCATCCTCTATATATAGTGGGGGGGGGGAGGTAGAGAGTAGAGAGAGAGATTGATTGATTGAAGATAGTATGGCCAAACAGTCATCTTCAGCGAAGTCACAGATCAGTGTGCTGACCAAACAAGTAGGTGGAGAAGCGAAACAATCAGAATTATACCATCCGCTGTTTGAGAAGCTTTAGAAATTTCATTTGGCCTGTCTTCTCTTTGGAGCGGCTATGGAGGAGGGTTTATTCCACCCTCTTGTATATTTTCCAGACTCTGTTCATTGCTCTTTCCACCAAAACAGATGCCTTGAAAACCTCAGGACGGTTTTATTCTGAAATACCTGTGATGATTTTCTTTCCTTCCTATCAAAATCTCCACAACGACTCTGGTGTTTGAATACCTGATGGTAGAGGAATACAGTTCTCAGAATGCACTCCTGCAAGGTCATGTGATCAGCATGCGCCTTTGCCTGCATATTCCCTAGAATATTTGTATTGCGTGCCATCTGACTGTAACGAAGGTCCTCATTTCATTGTACATATTGGCTGTTCCCTGCATAAAAGGGACAGCTTTTAACTGACCCCCGTACTGTTTGTGAAAATTAAATGTTATCATATACAATATTTCTGCTGTATGCACAAAGGTGAACATTTTTAAAGGTGGGAGCTTGAAGTTAGGAACCTAAACCCATATTTACTTAATCCAACCCACGTAAATTAGTGGCCTGATATTCACCTGTGCTGAGCATTCACAACCTCCATCGGAGAATGCTTGGCACCTCCAACAGCCAGGCCACTTTCGTTTCTGTGGTGCCCAGGCCTGGATTTAGGTACCTAACGCTAGACTCCCATGTTTGAAAACGTTGCCGTTAAGTGTTTCATAGACGTCTTACAGCAATAGTTTCCTTTAGAAGTTCCCAGTAACAAGCAATTGGATTCTGTTACAATGGCCCTGCCAGACTCCTGCAACTCAGAATAACTAGTTATGGTCGTTCAGGATGAGAGTAATGTCTGAAGTTGGGCCCAAGCTGGAAATGTCCCACCGTTCCCCGGGGCATCTGGCTTTAGTGATGTCTGAGAAAGCTTCTGACTGTGAAATTACTGCACTGTTCTCTTTCCTCCTCTATCTCATCCTTTTCCTTCCTGATCATTTCTATTACTGCTAATCTCTCTCTGAAAACTATGGTTTTCTTCTTTCTGTTTTCCCCTGTCCTTTTACTCTCTCTCTCTCTCTCACTCACTCTCTCTCTCTCTCTCTGGCTTGCCTTATCCTTCTGCATGCTATACGGCACCCCTCCCAGGAAAGACACTTGTTTGATACCATATCACTGCTGATCCAGGAATCTCTGGAAGGAGAGTTGAAGCTGATGGACAACCTGTCAGGCTCTGTGTGCCATCATTATGCCCTTCCAGCTCCTGAATATTACAACTCTGAGAAACAGGTTAATATTCCTAATTTCCTGCACAGTCTCTGTCCAAGTCAATTTGACTGAGACCTGTATTGAAAAGATAAAGTTGGGGGTGGGGTTTAATCTAAAATAGCCACAGGGATTTTGAACCCCAAGTCATCAGGGCTATTTTATGGGAGGGCAAGTTAATTTATCTTTGTTTAAGATATTATATATTCATGCTAGAGCAAGTGTGCAGCATTTAATCTCCCCTCTTTAAGGTACTAAATCCAAAGCTAAATTTGTCTATACGTGAGTGGCCTTAGGATGGTGAACAAATGTAGCCCAGATCCTGAGATTGGATTCATGCATTGCAACTGTACAGGTGCAGGGATCCAACCGTGCAGACTGGATTGTAGGATGGGAGCTCATGGACCAGATCCTTGGGTGGTGTGAAATGGCATCTCTCCATTCTGCAGCGAAGCCCATTTACACTAGCTGAGGATCCAGCCCCATACGTCTCTCTAAATAGGCCTCTTGCAAGTGGATCCTGATCTCCAATCTGAACCCAATTAGGGGAAGCAAGACAGTACTTTAGCAAGTGCTTACATCCCAAAGAAGTCAGTGAAGCTTGGGTATGTGCTTAAAGTTAAAAAGGTACTTAAGTGCTGTCTTCAGTAGGAGTGGACTTAAGCATGTGTGTAAGTGCTTTCCTGAACTGGGGCCTTAACCTGTTAAAATAATGCCACTCAATTAATTTTTTTAAAATTAATCTAGTTGAAATAAAATTCCTGCTTTCTCCTATCCATTATTCCTCAGAGCAAACACTTTTCATATGACATAGGCTAATTCAAATACCCTTCTTTTTTATTGTTTTCATTTTGACTGAGAGAAATCCAATAGTGCTGTAATTTTTTGCTAAAAACATCTGATCTTTAATTTATCAGATAAAAATATCTGAAGATTTCTTATTAAATTATTAGTATATTTATTTACCAGCTCATTGAGCACTATAAATTATTCAACTTTTCTTTTCATTTGGCAGGGAGAACAAGTTTGGATACAATGAGAACTATACTTTTATAGGTTTCACAATGTTGGGATAACTTTTTACCCTCTAGTTGTTAATCATCACTTTCATTATGCCGGGGATTATTAACCAACAGACAGAGGTCTCCCTTAAAAACTGTGATGGAAGAGACGAGCTAGCTTATTACCTTTTCTGGTTCCTCAGTCCTGGGGACTGCTGAGAGTTTGTATGGCTGTCAACATAACTTAGAGCAGCTTCGGGGCTGCTCTAAACTATCCCAACTAATAATGGCCCCCAAAGGTCCTTTACACCAGCCAGGAATTACCTGCATCCAAACATACTGGCCACATCCCCTTTTTTCTCACCGTACCCTTAGACTGTGGAGGAGGGCCCATAGAGGCTGGCATAGAGTTGGTAATATCAGTCCTATGCCAACTAGGAATCCATCTGCCATGCTGGGGGAGTTCTCAACTGCCCTATTAGGGCATCTCTCTGGCTCCTTTGTGCTGCCTCAGTGGCAGCTGGGTTTTAATGGACTCAGGTGTGCAGGAGCTGCAAGTGCCTCTCATCTACGTTTCTTGGTTCCATGCACAACCAGAGACAGAAGCTCTGGGATACAGTGACTGAGGCTAGAACAGCTCTGGTACTGGCAGTTCATGATATTCCTGACTCCAAAGGACACACTGGAAATCCCACCAGAAAGCCTGTCCAGTAAGATTGCTAGCCAGCCCTGTGTCACCGATCCAGAGGGTGAGAGAGTTTGGATAGAGTTCAAAAGAACAATCAGTCTCATGATTATCTGAACCAAACCTCTGACCCGTATGAAGTTCACCCATCACTAGATTTAATTAGCCCCAGGTGAACTAGTATGACACCATTTCCAAAAGCAGGCGTGTGGGAGAAACCAACTCTTTGCTAGGTTGGATATGGCAGGCTCCGGTCTCCACAGCTTCTCTTGAAAGACGCATTGCTGTGGAAAGAGAAGAACAGGAGTACTTGTGGCACCTTAGAGACTAACAAATTTATTAGAGCATAAGCTTTCGTGGACTACAGCCCACTTCTTCGGATGCATATAGAATGGAACATATATTGAGGAGATATATATACACACATACAGAGAGCATAAACAGGTGGGAGTTGTCTTACCAACTCTGAGATTGCTGTGGAAACAGACTGTTTAAGATAAAAGTGCTAATCCTTTGAATTAAGAAAGGAAATGCTGATGTACTGGGAGCCCTAGAGGCAGCACTGTGGATCTATGTCTTGATGTAGAAGCTGTAATTGTGCATGAATCCGTTTTATATAAGGCCTATAAAACACTCCCTTCACTAACCACACACCCATAGAGAAGTACATGAAAATCGGTCCGACAGATATCAGGTTTGAGAGAGAGTGCTTGGACAGTCAAGCCTCCACTTTAAATCCAGCATCTGGCTTTGAGGCTGCTGCCAGGAGTGACTCTGCTTTGTTAGGAGAAGACTGCCCTTTCTTTTGAGCAGTCTAGACAGCCACCCCAAAGCACAAAGCAATGACACGTTGTGCTTCCCATTAGATGGACATGTGTGCCTCAAGGGCGCCCGACACTGAAGGCTGCATATTTTGCTTGGATTTTTTTTTAGAGAAGACCTATCAATGGAGCAGAGATTTTCAAACATATTTAGGTGTCTAAAGATGCAGATGCCCAGTGGGGTTTCCAAAAGCACCTAAGTGGGTTAAAAGAACAGGAGTACTTGTGGCACCTTAGAGTTCTTTTTGCGGATACAGACTAACACGGCTGCTACTCTGAAATAAGTGGGTTAACTAACTCCCATCAATGATTCAAAGCCCATTAGCACCTGATCCAAATCCCATTGAAGTGACTGGGAAGAATCTCACTGTCAGCAGGAGACCATGGACCCAGAGACTTGATTCACACTTGGAAAGTAGATTGAGATCCTATAACGAACGGCTCCCTAGATAGGTGTCATTCTTTACCCTGCATTAAAGCAGCATACATGAACAGCTGATTGCATCCTATTCAGATGATTTTGGTGTTGAGGGTATCTCACCAGGATCCAAACAAGATAGGCTGGAGTCGAACAGAACTGCAACATTGCCATAGCATTTAGGGATAGGAGCTATCAGAGAAGTTTGGAGGTTCTCAATGCCTCTAATAGTTAGATGTCATTAGAATAATAAAGATACATATTTATATATATATATATATACTTCCTAAGCTACTGTTACTTTCACTTCCTGTTGGTGTTGTGAGAATAAATACATTAAAGCTTGTGAAGCACTTTGAAATCTACTGATGAAAAGCATTATATAAGAGCCAGGTATTATTATTATTATTATTATTCCTCAATTTGTAACATAGAAACCAGTATTTCTCACAGCACCTTTAGTGTACCATTGTAAATTATGTTGTGAGTTATTTGTGAGTATTTAAGGCTGAATGTAATGGGTTTTCTTACCCCACTTCCTTACGGTTTTATCTACCGCAATGACGTGCATGGCATAGATGCTCTTATTTTAGGGATAATGCTTCAGTATTTAGACGATGATACTTTTTTTTCAAAAGATTTGTGTCCTGGTTTCTTATGCTTAATCATCTCTCCCTTGTTTAGATCCCTCTAGCTGAGATGGAGGCTCTGTCTCTGACGTCAGATATTCTCTCTGAAAAGTCCTGGTCCTTAGCTCTGACGGATGACTCTTTTCCTGATGATACTAACACACTCTTACTTAATGCTCTGGAAAGCAATGTACATACACTGGTCACTATATATTCTGATGTTTACAGGGTTCTAAATACTGCTATCCCATGGTTAATCACAATGGTATTTTCAGTCCAACCCTATCTCCAAATAGCACCTAATCTTTTATCTGAAGAGGGCAGTTTATTTTATTTTTTGTATCATATGTAAAAACATTACATTGTCTTCAAATAAAATAAATAGCCCACTCACCCACCCACCCCCCAAAAAATAGATGGTGTGAATCTTGAAACTTTCTCTGCATCTGAAACAAATCCATGTTTGTGTGCATAAAAGACACACCCATGAGCAAATATATCATGTGCCCTATGCAGAAGGATTATCTACTTCCCCTTGGTTTGTAACGGACTAGATTTTGTGAACATAGGTGCCCCCAGTGCTTTGGGGATGGGTGCCAGATACACTTTTTAGAAATACACCAGCTGCGGATCTCTCAGAGATGCTGCTTGTTTTGTGAACTCGCATTAGCAACCAATATTGGATTCCTTTCTCTTTTTTTGTAAAAAATTACCAGTATTTTGAGCCCTGCTTTAACCATCTTCTTTTTGCAACATTAGACATTTTTAGCTGATGTGTAGCGGTCAAGTGCTTTTTTGCTGCTGTACAATAGACATAACTTCTCTTCCAACATTTTTGGATCCATTCTTGTTTTCTCTGTTGTCGTCCATATACCTATCTCTGGATGTTTGTGTTGTTGATAAATTTTCTATCATTCTAGTTGACTGTCATCCTAATTAATATTTATTTGGGCTACATCTTCTTTAAACCGTGACAATATTTCCCATCATGCTTCATGGCATCATGTACAAAAGATTTTGTAAACTACATTTAACATTTTGTATGGAACATTTTGTTTCAAAATAAGATATCTAGTGGAGGTGGGCTGAGGAACTCAGAGTTCCAGTCTGGATCCAGATTGGGTAGAGATTAGGAATCTGACAGCACTGAAGTCTTGTGAGCTGTTTTTCATGGGATCACCTTTCAGCCTTTTAAATGGCTTTCATGAAATTAACTGTTCTCTCAAGATTTCTGCTATTTGAGGCTGAAATCTCAGAAGAGTTTGGCTGCATCTGAACTGGAAAATAAGCCCCTTCTGAGTTTGGATCTTGCTTGGAAACCTGAACAAGGAAAGTGGATTTGGATCTGATCTCGAATCCAAATGGATTTGAATTTGAAATTCCAGTTTTTGGACCATCTCTTGTATTAAGAAAATGATGTGTAGACAAAGATGTGTGCATGCAGGTTGGTGAGGAGGATTTCAGAACAAAGTGTCAGCATTACTGGTATTGAACTTGCCCTCCTCGTTTGAGTTACAGCAGGAGACTGCAGTCCCTAATGAATGTCATTTATATCTAAATCAGCAAATTCATGAAGACCGAAAATAATTTTTTATGGCAGTGAACTTGGATTTGGTTGGCCAATTTTACAACAGTGATCCCTCCCCCCCCCCCCCTTTTTTTTTTTTATTTTTCATTTTTTTTTTTTTTTTTT